TAAAAACATTTTGCAGCTGTAAACATCATATTAGGGAGAGGCAATCAATTAAACATTGGGGATCATACAGCAACACTCTATCGACTGGACGGTGCAAAATCTACGAGTTCATCAACGAAAGAAGGTCATTTAAATGATCCTAAATTAAGTCAAACTGAAGTAAACAAAGTCGATAGCAAATCATTTCCCACCAAAACTAGAGTTCATAGTTCATCTGAGAGCTCAGAGACTGAAGATGACTTTTGTGCACCTAGAAATTCGTATTCAATTAAAAAAGGCGTGCAGAAGCAAAAAGATGAAGACTCTTCATCTGACCTGGAAGGTGCTGCATCCAGAAAGCAAAGTAGGCCTACACCTTGTAACCTTTATAATGAAGATGATATAGACAAGTACTCCGCTGATAATAATAGTTTTGCTCAAGATTCAGAATCATCCAAATCTGAAAGTGAAAAATATAGCAATGAAGACAGTGAAAGTGGCGATACTGATGACATTTCAAGCGATGATGATTTCAGTCTAGCTGAAAAGGCTGAAAGAACTGTTAAATTAAAAATTATAGATGTGACAAAGTCCAAAGATTTTTACTCATTGTACCTGGAGGATGAGTCAATCAGTGAAGGGAAATTTATTGAAAGCAGCATGCTGTTAGATGGCATGAGAAAACATCTGTTTGTGACATTTAAAGATCCTAGAGGTTTGTACAACATAACCATCTTTATATGTTTAAATGACAATTCTAAAAAGGTAAACAATTTAGTTTATTTTTTTCATTATAATGTGAAACTAAAGAGTGCAATGCAGCACTCTCTGTCAAGCAATACTGATATCCCAGTTACCCTTATTCTTTACTTGTTTTTTCTTTGATTTCCTAATGTATTTTTCCCAACATGTCATCAGTTTAAAAATAGACTACTTACAAAATAAGAAAAGTAATGTAAATAATTTAAACTTGATGTAGCCCGCCAAACATTGGCGACAGCAATGCGTGAACTTCCCATCTACTAAAGAAGTTACTTAAAAAAAACATCAACTCAAGTTACGCACATTTAAGAATGCCAATTTTGCTACACCCCTTCCTTCCCCCCCCCCTCCCTTCCTTTTTTTGTTTCATGATAAGTCACTGCACACTTTTTATTTCACTTCCATGAACTATATTAATATAGCCGACCCGCAGCTTAGCAGACGACGCGAGCTTGTTAGGGTGAGGGTGGTGCAGGAGGGGGGGGGGCGGTAGCTCCACCGCAGTGCACATGTCTCGAGACCAACAAAGGAAGGGTGGGTTTGCCCTCGTCTTTGTCTTGCTTGCTCTGGCGTATCTATTTATAGCCTGCGTCGTCTTGTTTGCCCTACTTTTTCTGGCAAATTATATATATAGATTATTACAACTAATAATAATAACAAGAAATGAAATGAGTGCAGTAAACGGAATTAATCTATCAACATTTTTTTTTGATTAAAAATAGTTTGTCTACTTAATTTTTTCCAATTATAGATGCTAGAGCACTTTGTCGCATAAGCCATGATAAGAGAAGTAATATTTCTGAAGTTAATCTTGCCAGTGAGAAAGACTTCAACTGGCACACCAATCTCATTGCTGTCCATGGTTACACCTTTGATTCTTCAAATGATAAAGATAAGTTCAAAGATCTCATTTCAAGACGTCTGAAACGTGATGTGGTCGAGATTTTGCAATTTGATGAAAAACGATCTGTCATTGTAAAATTAAAGCCAGAGCAGTGTCAGCCAGGTATCTTCTGATTATCTCTATTTTTATATTCTTTTATCTGAGGTATTGCCATTATTTTTTCTGGTATTTTACCCCTCTTGCAAATATGTTAGTGGGTTTAAATTTCCATGATACTTGTCAACCGGGGTAATCTGGCTTGTAAATAATGACTGAGTTGAACTTGTAATCCTCCTGATAAGAAACGATCAGGTATTATGGATTGTTGCCATACTAGAAGTTCCCTAAAATTGCAGCAAATGAGATGTGAAAGTCTTTAATTTATCTGACTAATAATACATTTTCCCCCATAAATAATATAGACAACTATAGTGAATGTATTTAAATCAAGACTTACTCTAACTGTAACACATGGCTCTGACATGCTATTTATGAGGGTGTTGTGTCAGTAGCATTGTTAACTGCTAACTGATTCAGGATGCCGGCTTGAGTAGAGCAATACTTTTTCCATTCCTTCACTCACTTAGCCAGTCACACAAAGAAGTATATTAATTTCCAATTAAACTCACAGTACTTTATTACATCATCTTTTACAATAATAATATTAAGAAGAATCCTTGCATGAATATCCAGTTAATAACATCCACAATGCAATTATTTCACATATGTATATATATATAATATTCCATGGTGTAGAAAATTCACCTCGCAGAAAAACAACCACGTCCTCACTTAACTACGACATCCGATGTACTGCTGTTACCTCATATAGTGAATGTATTTAAATCAAGACTTACAGTAACATATTTAATGTCTTTGAAATTCTCATTCTACTTTGTTATACTAGATACTTTTTTTTGATAATGATGAGCCATTTTATAAATGAATTCCTAAAACAATCTGATACAATGATTATGGTGAATGAAAAAGAAAAAATTGGCTACATTGATTTATGAAAGTGAACTGTAGACCTATAATTTAACAAATAATAAAAATACTATTCTTTAACATTTATTTGCAGATGTTAAAAATAGTTATTTATTAATGTAATTTTTATTGGAACTGAACGTTTTTAGTGAAAATTAATATTAATTTTAATGTTTTTTTTTCCCTTTTATGATTAATTTTTTCATAATTGAAATATATTATTTTGTAATATACTGATTAACTTTGATATTTCAGAAAATTTGGCAGAAATGATTTGGAAATGTTCTTTTCAATTTTGTGGAATCCATCTCATTCCTGCACCAGTGGAGAAAAGTAATAAAATTTTGATTTCTCGTCTGTCAAGCAAAACTGATAAAGGTACTATCGAACGCTACTTGTCTAGTAGAAGAAGTGGAGCAAGTCCAAGACAATTGATACCCCCTGTTCAAAAGCTCAGTTCTCAAAAGGCTGTTGCAACTTTCATAAATTCAGAAGGTAAGTTGAAAATAATGTGGTTTGGACCTAAAATACTTTTCAAATTGATTTAAGTAATTTTTAAAAAAAATAATTAAAATTAATTCAATCTTCGCTAGAATCTTTTTGTGTGTGTTATAAGTTGACAATTTTATAAAAATTTTCTGGCTTATATAACAGGTCTAAGGGTTTATTTTTAAAAAATCTCAATTAATGTAATATACAAAATATACTGGGCGACTGCATACAAAAAGATTTGATGTTCAAAAATTTTGAAAATTATTTAAACATTTATTTTTCAAATATCTGTAGTTTACAGCGCAGGATGAATCACACACTGACTTAACTCCTAGTCATGCATCTGAACATTACTTAAATTTATTTGTATAAAATATGTTAAATCTGGGGTTGTTGTTCGTCCGTCGAAGTTGACTAGGACAATCGAGTCATCCGGTTATGGGGAGGTTGGGATTACGGTGAGCTCGTAGATGGCTTGCTAGACCGATCCTTGCTCGGAATAATCTATGACACCGTGGGCATGGAATAGTTGCTTCAGACGGTGACCTAATAATGCTCTTTCGGACAAGCCTGCGTGTCTCAGCTGTGGTTATTCTATTAGCTTCATGGGATTTAGCCCCCTTCTAGACAGCAGCTATCCACTTGGCTTTGTCCTGGGCTGTCTGCACCCATTGAGTAGGGTTTATGCTGAAGGCCTTTAGTGCCGCTTTCAGTGAGTCTTTGAAACGCTTTTTTTTTTGACCTCCCTGGGAGCGATTGCCTATCATGAGTTCTCCGAAGAATAATTGTTTCGGGAGCCGGTGGTCTTCCATACGGGCTACATGTCCCATCCAACGGAGATGAGACTGCATCAGAGTGGTGAAGATACTAGCATGGGCGCCCGCAGAAAACTTTCCGGGGGGGCGGGGGGGGGGCAAAAATTTTTTAGTAATGTTTTAATGTAGTTTTAATTTACTGTAGCGTATTTGTAAAGTGAACGAACGGACAGGACATCAGCTTAGTTACTTTCTCTTTATTTTCTCTTTACTTTAATACATGTTTTGTCTATTTTTGTCTAAAATTTTTTTATCCAATCAATCCAGGGGGCGCAAGTGCCCCCCCTTGCCCCTACCTGCGGGCGCCCATGGATACTAGGTAGGTTCGCTCTAGCAAGGACCTCAGTGTCGGGGACTTTGTCTTGCCACCTGATGCCGAGGAGTTTCCTGAGGCAGGTAGTGTGAAAATGATTCAGTTTCTTGGCGGGACTCTGGTAGACTGTCCACGTTTCACATCCATAGACCTTGAGCTTTATTTCTCGTCTGATACTTCTCCTGTCCCAAACAGTACTGCGGAGCCTGCCAAATATGGCACTAGCTTTTGCGAGTCTGCAATTCATTTCATCATCCATGACGACAGATCTAGAGAGTGTGCTACCCAAGTAAGTAAGATTTATCCACCGGGTTGAGACGCTGTCCACTGATGATGATGTTGGGTTCAACGTAGGGCTTACTGGGAGCTGGCTGATACATCACCTCAGTCTTCTTTGTGTTGATTGTGAGGCCAAAGTTATTGCAGGCCTCAGAGAAGATATCAACGCTGTGTTGCATGACGGCTTCTGAGCTAGCGTTCAGGGCACAATCGTCTGCAAACAGAAGCTCGTTGATCGTGGTATGTTTGACCTTGGTTTTAGCTTGAAGCCTCCTAATGTTAAATACTGATCCATCAGTAAGAAATCGGATTGGCAAGCAGCCCGTGGGTGGAGTCCTTGAACACATCAGATAGCATCGCGGGATGCATAATACTGAAGATTGTGGGAGCAAGAACACAACACTGCTTTACACCGTTTGTGACGGGGAATGCTGGAGATGACTGACTGTTATCCTGCACTCGGGCCATCATACCATCATGCAGCTGACGGATGATTTTGGTGAACTTGTCTGGGCATCCGTATTTCTTCATGATTTTCCAAAGGCCACCTCTATTGACCCTGTCAAAAGCCTTATTCAAGTCGATAAATCTGGGGTAGACCTGTATACGTTCACAGTGGTCCCTCAATAAACCCCATTGGAGCTGCACAACACCTCCCCTCTACATCCATGACCCCGTCACCTCCCACTCTTGCAATCTTTTTCTCAGTTCAGTTCAACTAATTATTAATAAATAGAAATTAAGAATGTATAAAAATTTTGAACATATTGCTTAGGAAATATAATATTTCCATAAGATAATGAAATAATAATGAAATATTTAGCAGTGCCCATTTTGATTTTGACATTTTATAATTAATTTAAATATAAAAATTAAAAAATAAAAATGCAACATCCTTTTATGAATTAAAATATTTCCATTTACAATGTTTCTTTACAATCAGATTCAAAACAGAGTTGGGAATTTTATTTTATGAGCTTAATCTGCAGCTTTTCCAGATACAATGACACCAAAAATACTCACACTATCCGTGCAGTATCTATAATATTTATTATTAAGAGTTAAGTTGAATGATAATAATAATTACACAATTTTTAATTCTTAAGTCAGAGCTTTATGAATTAAATACACGAATTAATTTTGTTTATTTTTTTAAAGTTGTCATCACAAATTTTAAGTTAAAAGAAGTAATGGTAACTTACTTATATAAACAAGCAATCGTTTAACTCATAAAGATATAAAATTTTACATTGACGGGTCCAACTGTTAATTACTCATCTGAGCAATTTACATTCATTGTTCCCAACAGACAGACAAAAATTGCATAATTTGCACAACTGATTTAATAACACATAAAAAGAATTAAGAGAAAGTTATACGTTTCAAGTATTTATTTTATTGTCTTAGAACTTAAATTGAAAAGATATGTTGTCACATAATTTCTTGTCTATTAGAACTACCATAGTATTAATTATAATATAAATGTTATTAAAAAAATGAAGGAAAATTTAAATTACCATTTTTTAAAATCCTTGATTGCACAAATGATCCTTACCTTGATTTAGTAGTTTTTTATGCAGTCTTAGAAATTATTTTATTGTGCTGACGTCTCTGTATTTATTATTCAATCAATTTATATTTTCAGTATGTTGTTAACAATATGTTTATTCCTTCTTTCTAAAGCAATAGAAAGTCTTTTGAGCAAATCTAAACATGAACTTGAAGGGAAAAAATTAAAGATTGACTACTTTCACCACTGTCTCACAACGGAAGCTTTTGAAGAACATTTTGGAAGTTCAAAAAAATTCAAAAAAATGTGTCATAAAAGTAGCTCAGAAGCTAAACTCAAAGATTCAGTAAAATTTGGGGATGGAGAAATTAATGAACACAAAATTCCAAATGAAGAAAAGTTCCATAAAAACGACTTAAAAATGACAAGCAAGAGCAGTGAAAAACAAATTAAGTCTAACCTACAAAAATTTAAGGGGGCTTATAAGAAAGACATGGATTCAACATCTGAAGAAGGGGAAAACGAAGAGGAAGAAAAAGAAGAAAAAAAGAAGAAATTAAGAAATAAAAAGAGAAAAAATAAAGAAGTTGATCCAACATCTGAAGAAGAAAAAGAGAAGAAATTAAGAAAGAGAATTGGCAAAAGTACAGAAAAGTATCCATCATCTGAAGAAGAAAGAATAGAGAAGAAATTGAGAAGGAATGATTGCAAAAGTACAAAAAAGTACCGGTATTCAACATCTGGAGAAGAAGAAGAAGAAGAAATAGAGAAAAAATTAAGAAAGAAGAGTGGCAAAAGTCGAACTGAAGAAAAAAATCAAGTGCCGTTTGAAAACAGTCAATTAAAAAAAATTAAACAGAAAACGGCGATTCGAAACAAACATAAGAATACTGCACCTGAAATAGATCAAACAATGAGTAACAAGAGAACTGATAAAGATAACATTAGCAATGCAAATAATGCAGCTGTAATGCAAGTATCTGTGCGCCTGAATGAGCATGAACAAGAGATCCTACAGATCCTCAATTTCTTTAAAGACATCAATGTAGAAAAAGACTTCCAAAGGGAAAATATAATTATAACGGGCACTGAAAAAAATATTAAAGAAGCAAAAAAGAAAATTTCAGAAAAAATACTAAAATTTGAGAAGACAGTGCTAAATGTGACACATATACACATTACATCTTTAGATCTTCTGAAAAAATGGGACGTTCGAAGCTGCATCAACAAAAAGCTTAAGAAGAAAGGTCATGCTGCATTTTTGGAGAGCAAAGATGATAATGTGATATTGCACAGCTTTCCTAATAGTAATTCAAGTAGTCCTACTGAATTAATTGCATTTGTGAAAGAACAAATTGAGCTGAAAGAAATGTCCTGTGGTAAAGCATTTTCTATCTTCCAGTCTCCAAAAGGTTCAGAGTTCATCACAAAATTATGTGGCAACAAAGATGGCAAAACATGTTCAGTAGTTAAGCTGGAACCAAAAAATGAGAGCATCTTGATTGTTGCCCTTCGTAAATGTATGTATGAAGTAATGGAATTAGTAGATAAATTTATGAAGGAGAATCAGATCCATACAGAACAGTTGATAATTTCAAGAGAAGAACAGGAATTTATTCAAAGATTTATACCAGAGGAGTACAATCATTTTGTCGATGATATGAGTAAGCAGGGTGTATCACTGGAATGTAAATCTGACAAAATTATTTTGCAAGGGTCTCAAGATGTCACTTCTGCAGGAATAAAAGTTCTTTATATTTTAAGGTAAATTAAGGATTCTAATTTTGTTCTTAGTGGTTAAATCTTTTTTTTTAAATATTGTAATACTGGATCATTAGTTTAAAACAAGCAAAACAAACAATTATGAAAATCTTAAATGTACCGGTATCCACCAAGTTATTGACAATAGATAAAACTCATTATCTAACACGTTATTAATTTGTCACTGCAGTAAAAATGTCATTGATCTTTCAGTATTATACAAAGTTTGGTGAAAAGAAGTGAAAGTCTAATGATTTTCTATATGACGTCACATAAAAAGGGGAGGGGTTATTAAAACGGTCAATAAATTTAAGTTAAATTTTGTACATCTCCCTCGCCCTTGTGACCACCTGTTGAGCTTTCAAAGATTCCCCCTCCCATCCATGTATTGTTAGTTTTTTTCTAAACATCGGATTAGTTAAATTTTTAATTTCATTGCTAAAACTAAAGGGGTCTTTAAATAAATTTTAAAAAGCTCTATAAGTATAAGCTCAATCGTTTCTTACTATTTGTATAAGCGTAATGCTTTTTTCGTATTAAATTAAAAAAATTTTGTTGAAGTTTACAAAAAAATTAGATGGTTTAATGCTAATATACGGCAGCATTGTTATTAATAATGATACATTTTTGTTTTAAACGGTAAATATGTGACTCCATTGAGGGGTCTCAGACTCAGAGTCAACATTTCAAGGATGCAAGAGATGTTTTTAAAAACTTTTTAAAAACACCTGTGAGAAAATCAAACATAAATACAAAAAATAATAAGCAAAATGATTATAATTTTGTTTAATAACAATCAAGCAAACTTTTTAGGTCTATAATTATATACATACAATCTTTATTATTAATTTAGTGTGTGTGTGTGTGAGTGCCTGTGTATATGAATATGTGTAAGACAGAGTGTCCTCCCTTTACTTAAAAAAACATTATTTTTCAGGTGAAACATTGAAAGCCATGTCATGTTTTTATTTTTAACTCTTGCAGTTAATCCCTCTTAATCCCAATGAAATTAGATTAAGCCTAATTGCTACCAGTGTCATAAAACATACATATAAACTATTTATTGATGTGTTATTTTATTCAACAGAGACAAAGTTGCAGCTGAAGGGTTTGAACTCAACATATATATATATATGGCGATATTTTTGTACAGATGAAAAAAGTTTTGCCAAGACAAGAAAACAGAAGCATGAAATCTCAAAATTTGGACCAGTCAAAGTTGATGTGAAGAAGAATAAAATTACCAAATCTGATGTAAGAATCATTTCTGATGCGTGACTGCATAATCTTTTAGGAATATAAAAATTGAATTAGATCTTAATTTAACTTTGCACAGCATGTTCATAGATCATTAAAAACTGCATTTTTCCCCCAAGACCGACGCAATTGTTATTACAATAACTGGAGGCCTGGAGTTGAGAAAGGGGAAAATTGGCAAGGATGTCCTGCAATATGGAGGAGCTTCGATTCAAGATGAGTTACGGAACAAGTATGTTTTGTAAGGCAATAATTGAAGAATTAATATAAATTTGGGTTGAGGCTACATGTAACTGATATTGATTTTTCATTTCATTTTAAAAGATTTTGATAGGCCCAACAATAAAAATAAAACACTTTCCTAGCTCATCTAGTAGCCTACTAGTCCTACCACATTTTCTTTCCTCAAAATAATGTACACCCACGCCTTGAAACATAATAAACTTATCTCCCTCCCATATTGCACATTGCCGTCATGAAGACTACTCTTCTTGGTCTTCACATAACAGGTATGCTTCAAGAATTCAGTCTTGGGAATTCGCTGAAACAAAATCTGGCAACTTAAAATGTAAGCTTATCATGCATGCTTGCTTATCCTGCTACCATGGAAAAAAAACTGAGGTAAAGATACATAAAGAATTTGTGATTAAATTTGTAAGATATCATTCCTTTTCATTTTAGAATGTCAAAATTAATTTATAAATGCATCATTACAGATTTAAGTTAAAGTTTGGCAGGTACAGCTGATTTAGTGATTGTTATATTTGGGCCATGTGCATTGCTTACTCCAAATGCACTAAGTCAATTAGTCTTTCAGGGAATGGGATTATGCACTAAGTCATTCAGGGAAGGGGACTAGACTTTTCCACTATTGTGAATGTGGCTTAATGGTTAAGGGTTGTATCAAATGTGTGAGCAAGCAACATTTATGGCAGATATCTATTCGTATTCTTTACCATCTGTCATACAACAAGAACTTAGTAAAAAAAAAAAAAATTCTCTTTTGATATTTACAAATCCTTCTGAATTTTTTACTTGATTAATAATTTATGTCGTAAATTTTAAGCATCACTGACGGTAATAAGTTTGCAGCTTCATCTGAGACTTTAAAAAAACAAAATCAATCCTATTTTAATCTAGAAGTTATTTATAAAATCCCAGAAAACATACTAAAATTATTTGAAAAGCTTAGTGGTTGGAGAGGCTGAGTCTTAATTACAACTTATGACATCTACAAAATGTATATGGTGCAATGATGAGAGGGATGAACATTATTTTGAATATGCAGTAGTGTCTGATGAGTTGAAGCTAGCTGATCAAGAAAACTTAAGTAACATTTTGGCTTTTTTTTTAAATTTTGTGGCAACTTAATTTTTTCAAAAAAATTATTGTATGCGTTAAAATATGTGTTATCATAACCAACAACAAAATAATGAAACTGATATTCTAGACTGTTGAAATTATTTCTTACATATTTCTGATGTATGATTTTTAATACTTTTATTTTTTTTAATTCTTATCATGTTTGAAATTATTTCAACCTTACAAATATACAGATTAACTCTTAACATTAACAGTATTCACGTTTTTTTAAGTTACTTTTTGATGAGTTGCAAATTACCCATAAATAATATATATATATTAAAAAATAGTATCTTGTTGAAACTATACTAGCAGATTTCTCAAAAAAAAATATTTTTCTAATCCTACAGCTGGTTTGCTTAGTGTACAAACTACTGAAAAGAGCCAATGATCTTAACTTAAGGTCAATCTCACTTCCTGCACTGGGTACTGGTGGCTACAAATATCCTGCTCGTAAGAAGCTATGTCTATTAATGTTTTAAAGGAAAAAAGGCATCTGTTTGTTAACATATCCCTTAAATGTCTTTTTTTTCCTGCATCAATTAACATCCAACTAAACTGGCAAGGGCAAATAATTTTTTCAACAAAATTTCGTTTGTAACTGTTTTAAAAGTTTTTGACTATAAGCATCATTTTAATAATGTCACTAATAATTAATTGATCCCCTTTTTTCTCTTTCTATGTATTTTCATCTTTATGCATTGAATTTTGGTATTACATGAAGAATTGATGATTTTAAATTTGGTTTTAAAGATTAATTTTTTAAATGTATAATTTAGGCAGAAAAATAATTATATTGAGCTGAAAAAAATATTGCTGAAAAAACAATATTTAGATGAATAGAAAAATAATAAAGAAAATAATTCAATGTATTACAATATATCAAATCTTATATATTTACAGAAGAATCTGCTTTAGCAATTAAAGAAGGTATTAGCCGTTTTGTCAGTGATCACAAGAATATATCCTTGACAAAGATCGATATTATAATTTTTTACAAAGATACAGAAACTGCACAGGTGTGTTGCCCTTTTTACACTTTCTCGAATAGTTTATGAGGAGAATCCTGAAAGCACAGTCTTTGATTCACTTTTTGCAAGAAAACCTTGACTTCTGGTTTACATTGGCCCTCCATTAATGCTCTTTTTGTTGAAAGGGTTTTGTTTTGTGGTCACTCTGGATGTTTGTTTCTCACAAACACTCTGATTCACAGCCGGAACGGGGGTAAATGATGATTTTTCCATTTGCCAATTTCGATGTTAGTTTCCGTCATATTTCATTCTCTTTGCCAATGTCCTTAAAGAGCAGCCACCCAATAAGTCTTTCACCTCTGCTGATTCTCTAGAGAGTTGGAGAAGGTAATTTGAATTACTGCCTTCCTCCAGTATCCTTACGCAGCTTTGGTGGAAGCTGTTGAGTTTCCACTCGTGACTGGTGTATCCGGTCCACAATTCACTGCCATATAAAAGTGTATAAAGAAAACATACCTGATAGATGTTTAATTTATGTGCTTACTTTGAGTTTAGAATTATTCCACACCCGCTTATTCAATTTGGCGATAATATTAGCTGATGTTTTTTTTTTGTTGTTTTTTTTGTTTTTTTTTATGAGTGCGGTTTTGCTGTGGAGAGTATTAGTGTAACTGTTGCTAGGTGCTTTGTATTTGTGATGTATTTGGGTATAGGAGATGACGTTGTTGGTTGTTATGGTTTTGTAGTAGAGATGGAGTTGAAGAGAGAAAGCGGATGAAATAAGACTTGTTGTTTCTATCAGTAAAGAACCGTATGTCACATAGATCATTGATTTGTTGAATAATTAATCTTAAACGTATCGAAGTCATTGAACTGCTTATTTACAATTTGCCGTTCCTAACATTGTTGTATTCCTCTATCGAGCAGCAGCCATATGTGTTTGAATTATTGTACAACCACATAATATACATTGATTTAAAGTTTACCTTGTTCTTGGAACAGGATTTTACTTTTGTTAGTTTTATCAGATTACGATGAATGAACATGACGTGAGAAACTCAATCGTGTAGACTGGTTATGTGAGAGAACCAACTTACTAACAATCTTTATTACAAAGCTGATAATCAACGTTATCCCGTCATCAATGTTATTCACACAGAGATTAAAATATAGCCAGATCCTTTATAGGAGCCAGAATTATCAAATCATTGATCCCGGGCCGTCAAGATATAGAAGAACAGAGTGTAGATTAAAAATGTGTATTAATTGCAGAAATGACACTGATCAATAAATGAATATTAGACTATGAAATTTGGCACTTTTTTCCTTTGAATTAACCAAAAAATCAACTATAGCTGGTTGAATTGCTCATTCCTGCCAAAGACAATCAGGTACTGGAACAAACTTTAAAAAGGAACAGTTAAGGTGACAATTTTTGACAAATTAGCATCTATTGCCTCAGGCCTTTCAACCCCCAGTTCATGATACTCTCACCCGGTGAAATATCCTCTTCAATAACAGGCACAGAAACTTTGCAAATCCCCTCTACATAAACAGGAGTCAGAATGATCAATTACATTGATCTTGGGCATTTAATTTATAGAAGAAGAAGAAGCTCTCTGGCAAACAACATTTTCAACTTTAATAAAATTACCATCCAGTTGTAATGTAATTCTGATTTCTTGTTTGTGCTGCACTAAATATCTTCCACTGTCATGGCTATTTAATATATATGTAACTACACATAGATATTTCTGAGAGTATTTCTGAGAGTAATCTTCTTAAATGTACCCTATTTATAAGATTTAAAATAATTATTAATTCAATTTATATTTTGTGTCGAACCCTTCAGTAATTTCTTGAGAAGCATTGCAAAATAAGTTTGAATGTGGGTGGCTCTTTTAATAAATCTGTTTAGCCTACTACAGTGATGCTGTCTGTTTACATTAAGGTATACATGAATTGGTTTTCATAGCTGCCGTTAGCTCTTTTCTGCATGTAAGAAGATCAAAGCTCATTGACTTATATTTGATGCCATCAGTTGACTGATGTCTATGATTGACTTATATTTGAATATTTGATGCCATCAGTCAAAACATGATGTGTGCTTTAAATTATTTAATTTAATTTTTTTAAATGCATGCTCCTGATTTGATTCACCAGAACTCCCTCCCTTTAATTCTATCCATTTGTACAGTACCCTTTAGATAATATCCCAGCCTTCTGGGGGTAGCAGCCTCAATTTTGAAATTCATAGGTTTATGGTACTGCACCATTGATGTTTCCCCACAAAAATATCTAGTGCTAACATAACTCTTTAGCTTTATACTAATCAATTATTCTAAAAATCTCCTGTGCAAAGGTTATTGCTAATCATTTTTAAAGAAGTCATGTGCAAAGTTTATTACTATTCATTTTTAAAGAGTTCTGTGCAAAGTTTATCACTATTCATTTTTAAAGAAGTTCTGTGCAAAGTTTATTACTATTCATTTCTAAAGATGTCTTGTGTGAAGTCTTTCTTACTAATCATTTCTAAAAATATCTTGTGCAAAGTTTTGTATATAGCTCCAATGATAATACCTGAATAATATTGTTTGTTATTTTATTTTTGTTGCTACAAAGTTATAGGGCTAGCAAATGGCGAAGGCAAAGATTTGTGACAAACATGAGTAATGGATCTGGAAGCCTACATTTTACAGGACAAAAATTGCATAATTGTGAACTTTGTTGTGAAATATTTTAATTGCTGGCATTTGTTGTTTATCAGTCGTTCTTCTCAATTTTCTCTGGAGAAAATGATGAAAAGGAAGAAAATGAGGATATGACACCTGTCGGGTTTGATTCAGCAGCAGTTGCAGACACCAGTAAAAATGAAGGTATATTAAACATTACAAACAAAACAAGAAAGCAAATATTTAAGTTTTGAATTATTTAATTTATATTGGTCTATCAACGAGATTTCATCGTTGTTACAAACATTTCCTTAAATCTTGAAATAGTTTAATGAATAAATTAATAGCTGAAACATTTAAGAATGAAGATATCAATCAAACAATTAAATGGAAGTTGGTTTTGCTCCATGTCGACCTGTTCAAAACAATAACTGATTTAAAAACACAATGTCGAGTGTCAGTACATAATATTAAGAAAATTGAAAATATATGTTCTGGAACCAGCTCCCCTTCTATATCCGTCATTGTGAAACCTCGTCGACTTTCAAAAAGTCCCTTAAAACCCATCTGTTTAGGTCCGCCTATGACCTGTGATGCACCCTGCCTCATTTTTGGTCTCGGGTTGATCCTGTAGTATAGGCCAAAACGTGCCAAAGTGTCCTCGTTTTATAGCCATTTTAATTGTTTCTATAGTATAGTAGTTACTATCTAAGTGTCTCATTTTTATTTTACTTAGTTTACATGTTTTTAATAATTATAAAGCGCTTAGAGCTTCAAGGTAAGCGCTATATAAAAATGCCTAAATAAATACATAAATAAATATGTATAATTCCATCATTTAAAATCTTTATTTTCCAAACAAATTCTTTGCTTGCTTTTTTCAGTAAGCACAAAAAATTTCCTGGTTGAATGACAAAACTAAAGTAGGCCTTTTTTTTGTCTACGTAAATTTCAAATGGACTACCAGAATAAACCTTTCTAAAAGTATTTCAAATAATGCATGATTTCTATTGATTATTATCTGTTTTTAAGCATAATTTCCCTTTTAAAATTCCTTAGGTAATAACAGCAAGATCACATATGGCTGTGTAACCCTGACTGTAAAATGTGGAGATATCACCAAAGAAGCCTGCAATGCTATTGTCAATGGAATCAAAGCTAGCATGGACTTATCTTCCTCAGGTTTGTTAAAACACGTTTTTTTTTTTTTTATTATCTTACCTTTTTTTTCTCTTACAATGATGGCCCCTTTAAATATTTTTATATGATCACTTTGAGATGTCAGAGTTTGTCCATTTTATCAAAAAAAACATGACCATGTGGTCTAAAGTAGTTTAGTGTAGAGGCCTAACATCTGCACAATCACGGGTGAGCTTTTTTGTTTCTTTCAAAAGCCCATCCAGGAAACATACAAATTTGAAAACAAAGGGGATCATGATTTAGGTAGAATCATGAAATGTTCACCCCTGATATCTGAAATCAACACAGGATGCTACTCAATAGTTATAGAGTTAATGTTTGCTAAAGGAAATCTTTTTAGTAGGGGAATTATACAGAACAAAGAGGCATACACAGCACAGTTGATGGCCAGATCAGATAGAGGCATAGTCTAAAATAATGTCATGATTGTTGCGTCCAGACTAACTTAATGTCATATGAATCAAAAGCTATAGATATTATACCTAGACACATCTTCTCTTCTCTTTTTACCCTGTCTGGGGCATAGGCCGTCCACAAGAATTTTCCATTCATCACAGTCCTGTGCTTTCCTTTCCAGTTTTCTAGCTCGCGTCTCCATGTATTATTTGACCTTCCTCTTTTTCTTTTTCCCTGTGGATTCCATGTTAGAGACTGCCTGGTAAATCTTTTATAGTAGATCTTTGTTAGTGATTGTATTTGGCCATTTGATGTTCAGGATCTTTCTAAGGCATGTGTTTATGAAGGTCTGTACTTTCTGCGTAATGCTCGCTGTTGTTTTACTAGTTTCTGCTCCACATAGTGGAGCTGTTTTGACATTAGTGTTAAAGATTCTGACTTTGGTTTGCAGCTTTAGCTCCTTCGACTCCCATATTTTCTTTAATAGCACAAATGCTGATCTAGCTTTTCCAATTCCAGCCCTTACATTTATGTCGATGGTGCTGCCTAAGTATGTGAAGGACTCCACTTCTTCCAGTTCCTTTCCTGCCGGAGAGATATGCTCTTGGTTGGCTGAGTTTACCTTCATGATCTTCGTCTTTCTTTTATTAATATTGAGTCCAAGCTGTGCTGAAATGGTGGCTACGTCTTTCGTCTTTTCCTGCATTTGTTGCTGGTTGTTGGACATAGGTGCAATGTCATCTGCAAAGTCTAGGTCGTTTATTTAATCCCAGAGTGTTCACTATATCCCGTTCCTCTTTTTGTCTTTGGATTTTTTCATTATCCAATAATGGCGAGGAAAAATAGGAAGGGGGACAAGAGACATCCTTGTCTCACTCCAGTTTCCATTTTAAAGTCAACTGTGAGTCTACCTTCGTGGACTACCCTGTATGTCATTTCTTCATAAGAACTCTGAATGATCCCAAGTACTTTTCCTGGTATACCATAGTACCGAAGAAGTCTCCACAAGGTTCGTCGGCCCAGGCTATCAAAAGCCTTTTCGTAGTCTATAAAATTTATATAAGAGGAGTTCCATTCGATGGACTGTTCTACAAGGATTCTTAATGTTGCAATTTGATCTGTGCTTGATCTGTTTCTGCGGAAGCCAGCCTGCTATTTTCTATGTGTATGTACTTAGACACATACAAATAGAAATTACCAAGAAACTCACCGAAATATTATGTGCCATACGCATGGGCGCCTGCAGAAAACTTTCTAGGAGGGCGGGCATAAAAAATCAATTAACTTTCTAGGGGGGGTGCAAAAAAATTTTTTTAATGTTTTAATGTAGTTTTAATTTACTGTAGCGTATTTGTATGGTGAACGAACGGACAGGACACAGTAAAACGAGATCAGCATCAGCTTAGTTACTTTCTCTTTATTTTCTCTTTATTTTAATAAATATTTTGTCTATTTTAGTCTAACAATTTTTTTATCCAATCAATCCAGGGGGTGCAAGTGCCCCCCCTGCGGGTGCCCATTGCCATACGTGAAGAGCTTAAACAAAAAAGGACTAAATTTTATAATTTTAATATCTCTAATTAAGTGTCAACTAACACCTTTTTTTAAGAAAAAATTCTCTCATTTTCCTGAAACTAAATTGAATTCAAACATAATATTATTCAACACTTAAAATATAATTGTATATGTTAAAAATAAATACAATTCATACTTTTGTTTATAACTTCACAAGCTTCATTTATGATAAATAATTCCATTTTATTATTTATTCTTATATTATGTTATCAGGCCGCGGAGTGACCATTACTTAAACAATATAAGCATGTGCTTTAGGCATCAGAAGAAAGTGTGTACCACAAAATAAGACATAGTCTACAAAAATCTAGACCTAATTTGAAAAATTCCATAAATAGATACGTTTAATACCCATATTATATTCTAAAAATGAAATGTGTTTTCAGGATAGTGAAAAGCTGATTAATGCTTACCCAGTGAACATAAATTCCATAGGATCTACTTTGCAGCTTTCCTATTAAGTCTAGAATGCTGCAAAGCTCATTTCCGGTATGGCGTAATTCATCCCTGGAATTTGAATCTATAAACTTTTCTAGGGAAAGGCTTGCTGTGCCTCCTCCCCAGATCACTCTCCCCCAGCCCCTTGTGCTTGTGAAACTTCGTATTTTTGCTTGTGAAACTTCGGTGACTTCTATTTCAGCTTTCCCGTCCGCACTTCTGATCAAAGTATTGTCATTTTTTTTCGTTATAAAAGCCCTCCTGCTACTACTTCTATTTATAAAGTAGGGTCTTTTACTTTTGAAAAAAAATTCAATGTAAGTTAATGAATATAAACATAATGACACTATAAGATATAACTCTTTCTTAAGTTTAAGTTAAGTTTAAAAATTCAAGTAATATTTTACCATTTACTTTCTTGATATTTTGAATATTGAGTTACATATAATGTGGGGGCACCAAATCATTCAAGTGCTTAGGGAATCTAGAGGTCTTAATCTGTCTCTGTATGTGATATAGGCCTATTTATTATAAGAGTAGGAGTCTTAATTAAATTATCCCTAAAAACAAAGTTTTTCATATAAATCCTTTATAAAATGCAATGGGGGAGGGTGTTAAAAATATGACAAAACATGCATACAAGTAACGCACTTAAAGAATCCTACTTAGAACCGCCCCCCCCCCCTCCCTACTTGCAACTGCACATTTTTTCACACCTAAGATCTATATTAATATTCTAATTTCTAACCGTAAAAAGCAATGGGGGAAGGTGTTAAAAATATGACAAAACATGCCTACCAGTAACGCACTTAAAGAATCCTCCTTAGAACCGCCCCCCCCCCCTCCCTACTTGCAACTGCACATTTTTTCACACCTAAGATCTATATTAATATTCTAATTTCTAACCGTTTTCCCAAAGTAGATTTATTTAACCAACAATTTTTACAAAATATTATGCTCTTGCGTTATTTTTTTTCTTTACACAGAATCTAATTTAGAGCAGTTATCAGGAATTTCATTTTATCTTCCCCTAGAAAAACAGGGAAAACTGATTTTTGGGCGCTGAAAATTTGATAGAATTTCTTGTCATCGGCAATGAGTCTACGTGCCAAGTTTCAACATGATAGGTTAAAGAAGGGTGGGTCAATTAGCCGTCCAAAGATTTGCGAGGCTTTAAAAAAAGTGAACTTAAAATAACGGACTCAACTTTCCGAATGGCGCGTCTGATCAGCTTGATATAAGTTTTTGTTTTACACACAGTAATGAGAGATGATAGCAAGCTCTGCACATTACTTTTTTCAACTTTGACAATTGTATTATTGTTTTGTCCTGGTAAGTTAATTTTTCATTTTAGTATATATACTAATGCAATAATATCTTATTAATTAAATAATTTTTGTGTGTTTTTGAATAGTGAATATCAATTTGGTACATTGCGACCAAACAAGATATTTATACGGATCCTTATTTATTTCAGGTTACTTCAGCTGTCATACATTGTGGGGGGTAGGAACATTTTTGATCTTAAGAATCTCAATGGTCAAGAATATAGAGGAAATTTTATTACATATTTTTGGAGATGAAGAAGTAGACAGAGGTTTTGAAAATGGGGTTGACACAGGAAGAAAAGATGTGGGGGAAATTCTTCATAAAGATTCAAAGTCAAATGATAATGGTGATGATATAGATTAATGTAGAAGATACAATTGAAAATGATATTTTTTATGGGAAAATACAGAGAAACAAAATGGAATAAGAATCAACCTTCAAATAGACTGCGTTTGAAATGTAGCAAAAATCATTCAAAAACTTCCATGAATTATAGGCCCTGCAAAAATAGCATGAACCCATCTTGAGAGCTTGAGTGGCCCTTAGAGGGATGTACTATACAAAGCAATATATTGAAAGCATCCAATCACAAAATTTCATCAAAAAGGAAATGTGAGTCCAATTGTACATGTAGGGGAATCTGGCAGAACACAGAGGTAGACAAAACAGGTGATGGTCATATCAGATAGAAACATAGCCGAAAATAATGTTATGATTGTTGATTCTGGACTAACTTAATGTCAGATGAAAAGTATGTCGTTGGCCAATGGTCAAATTTTGTGCATGATAAATATGAGTGAAATCAACGCTCAAATTATTCATTGTGTAAGTGTTGTGTTTAAAGAAATTATCCCATGAATTAGTGCTGCCTCAATTTACTCAAAGCTCTAGAAGTCAATTTGTAAACGTCATATTTTATGTTCATGTAAAGTCTTTGCATTTATGAATATGTAATATTTATTTTTTTTTTCAAAATTACGTACACATTAATAAATGACAAATAAAATATTATTTATATTGTTTGTTGATTAAATTATTTAAAAAATAAACTATTTTACAATATTCAAATAATATAAACTAATTTAACCAATCTTACTCATTAGCAATATCAATTTGATACACCGCGCCCAGTCCTGTTGCGAAAAGAGCACGCTCGCTAGGAGGTTAAAAAGGGACAAATATTTAGAATCATACGAGTCCCAAATGTAATGGTCTCATTGTAAGATTTTAAAAGGGGCAAACATTTAGTTTCATACGAGTCCCTAATGTAATGGTCTCATTGTAAGATTTTAAAAAGATGTATGTTATAAAATATTGATTAATAAGAAGATAAAAGTTAAACTGCTTTTATAAATGTTAATTTTTTTAAAATTTTCTGTTATACATTTTAACACACACAAAATATCAATAAGACTATTCAGGAAACTTCTTAAATTTCTTAAGGTGCTGTTTGCAAATCCATTCTGAAAACAAACGGACGACCTTTTCAAGATGAATGTAGTTCAAAGAGTAAGTATTTATTTATTTTAAAAAAAAACCAAATGTATGGGAAAACTATATGTTTATTATAAAGTTAATTTATAGATTTTTACATTTTTTCTTTTGTGCATCTAACAATCTACAAGTATAAATTAATTTCTTTTATAGCTCAGGAGATTGTTCAAGAGGGTGTTACTGTTACAGCTGCTGGCAGACTTCCATGCAAAAGTATAATCCACATCAACATGGACATGTTCTTCCGTAGTTTAGACAAAGGCTTGTTTAAAGTATTAGAGCTTGCTGAACAGATCAAGGCAACTTCCATTGCGATTCCTGCCCTTGGAACAGGTTAAACCATTTTAAAGCAGTGTTCTTCACAACAACCTATATTCACAATTTAAACATATGCAAATAAAGTGAATAGTTCTGTTATTATTATTTCTTCCTTAATGAATGCAGTGCCACATCTTTTATCTAGGTTTATTTTATAAGAAATAAACAGGAAATTAAAATTCTAAAATAAATATGCCAATAAAAATATAATATATTGAAATATTTCCATCGTTCTGAATATATCTTAAATATTTATATTTCTTTTAAAGCAAAAAAAAGAGCTGACATTAACAAAATTAAGACGATGATGCATGAAGCCATTGAAAAATTCGGATCCACACGCCGTACCTTAACAGACATCAGATTGGTCATTTTCAAGCAAGAGATGATACCAGTCTTTATTGGTGCAACTCCAAGAGACTTAAAAGGTTACTGATCGGCACAGTCTTTTTAGAAATTTAAAACTTCTATATTTTTTACTAATTATATTAGGGAAAATGACTGATTATTAGTTTTCAAGATTTTTCGTCAATCCCAAACAATAATGCTCTAGGTAATAGTGTATGTAGCCTTGACAGGGATGTAAAGCTATGTAGCACTGATTGGGATTCTTTTGAGGTGCATTACTTGAATTCATGTTTTGTCAAGTAAATTTAGCAGATGGGAAAATCATGCATTGCCATCGCATTTGTTTGACAAGTTATTTCTAATAATTCCTGTGAAATTAAATTTTTCAAATGCTGTTCCTGAATGTAAAACTCCAAGCACATAAATCATTAAAAGTACATTTAGTGTTTGGTCAGCAAAGGCCCTGTCCCAAAACTTTTTTTTATACAAATGCATCATTGTAGAATGTGATATTGAACTTAACTTAACACCATGTTGATCCAACAAACACTGGCCTATTGTAATACCCACCTATCTACAGATTCAGTTTATTATATTATATTTCAAAAGAAGTTGCTTTATTTTGGAACAAAATCATATTTTTAAATAAATTTCTTTATAATATAAGATGGATGGAGCTAAAACTGAAACTCAACTTATCTTTATTTTTTTATGAACATATGTTAGTATATTGTGCTTGGATATTTGTGTTTTCTTCAAACAGTCAGACAAGTCAATTCAGCAGGCATTGTCGATCCCTTGACCTTGACCGTCTTCCATAAAAAGACTGAAAATTGTCAAAAATTAATTCAAGGTTTCACAGAAAGCTGCAACAACATTTTTGTTAACGAGTCCAAGGAAATGCAAAACTTAAAGAATCTAACTGAAAAGCAGGTATTCAAATAAAATTATAAGCTAAGATTTTTTTTGTTATTGACACATATTAGCTTTTGAAAACGCTTGTAAACTAAAGTGCCATCGATGGATATTAAATGTCTTAAGTTAATTATATTCTTGAGCAAACCGCTTTGGGTCTCTTTTAGGTCCTGTTGTTCCTCTGAGATTAATACTTCTAGACTAATCATTTCTCCCACGTTATGTCATTTTCTTCAGATGCTAGTTTTAATTCTTTGCAAATATCTTCATTGGATAATTTCTATTTTCATTGTCCGTATATAACACCCATTTTTCATCACTAGAACAATAATAAGGTATTTAACCTTCTTCAGAAAACACATTTCAGGGAGAGAAAAGTGGTTTGTGCATTTTTATGTGCATAAATATTTTCTTTAAATCCGAAGATATCCCAGTTTTGAAAAAGAAGTTTTATATTTTCCATAAAAATAAATAAATATGTTTTACTGATCATTGGTGTTGACACATTGTGAGCACTTTTACGTTAGTGTACCTATACCACAAAACTCAGTAAAGGAAAGGGAAAAAGGGTTGACGAGATTTTCTTTAAAACGAGGACATTGAGATATATCCCATGATACAATATAAGTGCATGAACAACAATGGGTTAAGATTTTTTTGTGAAATTTTTTTTTTTTTTTTTAAATTTCTACTTTGTTCAAAATTGCAAGGAAAAGGGAGGGTAAATTTTTATAATATTAATATAAAAGCAAAGTGGTTATCTTTCTTTAGATACAGAAAATCTGATTCTGTTACTTGTTTGTTTTTGTTTAGGATCCAATACGTCAAAATCTGATTCTGTTACTTGTTTGTTTTTTGTTTAGGATCCAATACGTCAAAATCTGATTCTGTTACTTGTTTGTTTTTGTTTAGGATCCAATACGTCAAAATCTGATTCTGTTACTTGTTTGTTTTTTGTTTAGGATCCAATACGTCAAAATCTGATTCTGTTACTTGTTTGTTTTTGTTTAGGATCCAATACGTCAAAATCTGATTCTGTTACTTGTTTGTTTTTTGTTTAGGATCCAATACGTCAAAATCTGATTCTGTTACTTGTTTGTTTTTGTTTAGGATACATACATCAAAATCTGATTCTGTTACTTGTTTGTTTTTGTTTAGGATACATACATCAAAATCTGATTCTGTTACTTGTTTGTTTTTGTTTAGGATACAATACATCAAAATCTGATTCTGTTACAAAAGTAAAAATGTTTTTTTTTAGATTAGAGGCTTTGCAATAGCATGTACAAAGTAACATAAAATGCCTTCCAGTAAAACCATGGTAGCACCAGGTTATATCTTTTAGTACTCCAAAAATGATTACATGAGGAGCATTTAACATTTAAATGTAAAATGAGTAAAACAAAGTAGGGTTAAGCCTGAGAAAAGGAACACACCAAAACAACGAACGTGTCGGCAAGAAGCCTTCGTCAGCGAACAAAACAACAGAAAAAAACAGTATAAAATTTAAAAATAGCACTTAGCTTAGAAGTAGTTTCCGTGGGTTTTGATTGCAGTCTCTCCCCTTATTACCCTTTTACCTTATTTCAGTCTCTCCCCTTATTACCCTTTAAGATTTAAATGAATTTTCTAAATTAGTGCTACTTGTTCTGAATTATTTCCATTAAACAGATAAAAGACTTAAAAAGGGAAGGATTGGAAAAAGGAATTCTACTAAATGTAGATACTGTTAAAGGGTGTATTAATTTACAAGGGCTCAAGAGCAATACAAGTGAAATCATAGCACGTGTGTATGAGCTACAGCTTCATGCAACTAAGCAAAATCTGGGCAGAAATACTGGCAGTCTATGGGAGTACAAGACCAACGACAAGTGGGAAAGATTTGAACCTATGTTAGTACTGTAAAATATTAATGTCTTAAGTGAGACTTTTAAAATTGTGCAACTTTTGAATGTCTATTCAATTAATTATGCTTTCATATAATCCGTCATGTAATACGGCAACTGGCAGCTCTATTTGCATATCACAAGAGAATTTTTTAATTCTAACAAAGTGTAACAAAAATGATATTAGCTAGCTAGGTTAACATTGTGCAATTTTAATTATGCCTCCATCAAAAGCAGTTAAAAAATATTTCTCACATCATTCAAAATAAAAGTTTATAAAAATCAGATGTGTGAATTTAAATAATTTATAATATTATTTATCTATGTTTCCTCTTATAAATGTCATATTGTTTATTTTGAATATTTTTCTACAACTCTAGCATTTTCTTACCTTCTTTCATATTTATAAATTATATTTAGGCGTAGTAAAATAGTGAAAGGACATTTTAAGTATTTTATTAACCATCATTAAGAAACTTTTTGACACTGAAGTTTGATGAAATTACAGTTTATAGAATTAAACATATGTTTTCATTACTCAGCAAGAACTTACAACAATACATAATGGTGTCTCATTGTCCAAACATTTTTCAATAGCATTAATGCTGATTTGGAATTGTCACACAAAAAAGATCCAGTATGTCGCTTCAATGACTCAAAAGGTCAATCATATCTTGTAGACTTTCGAAAAGGCCTGCAGTTTTTGCTTGACAGTAGAGGCAATGTAACTGACCAGGGCATTGAAATCAGACGGCGAGATCTCACAAAAGGTAAATCATATACTATTAAATATTTTATATATATTTTAAAACAAAAGTAAAAAACGCTCTGATAAGAAATAACAGCAATGATATTTAAAATCATTCAAAATATTGGAACTTTAACTAAGTTAGGAAGAGCAAATTTTTTTGGTCTTGTTAATATTTTTTTTATATCTAGGCCTATAAAGGAACTTTTGCACTCTTTAAATTTAATTTCATGTATATTATTGAATTGACTTATTGTACTACCAAAAAGTGATATCTCAGTTATTCAAAAATTAATAGATTGGTTGAAATAATAATTGTTAAAAAATTAACTTATTTGTAGGTAGGCCTACATAGCTTTTTTTTCTCTACATTAAGAATTAGGCCTTTAAAGTAAAGTTATGGATGTCTTGTTTTTAGAGAAATTTTCAAGTATTGCTGATAACTATCTTTATTAAATAATTATACATGTAGCAAAAACATCTAATAAGATGAGTTTGCTAAGGTTTGATATTTTATTTTAAAATCTGCACATGCCTACTATAAAGCTTAGTTTAAAATGAAATGTAGCTTTCTTTTTTTTTATTTTGAGTTAATCGATGTCCATGGAGAGTAAAACCCTCTTATAAGCAATGCATGAAATTTTGCATCCTTTCAGAAAACTGAAGATAAAACATTTACAATAATAACTGTGGTGGTCTTTGTAGTGTTGTTGGATTCTATTTTGGCTGGGTTCCTTGAAAGATATCGAACCCATCAAACACTGGCAGATCTAAAAGGGAGGCGATGAAACATTCATTATGATTGTGCTAAATGAATTTTATCAAAGCTGCAAAACAGGCTAACACTGTAAATTTGTTGTATACAACACTTTTTCTGGGGGAATGTCTGTCATGATCTTAAATATGTAATTTTTTAATGTGGGTTCTTTATATAGAAAGGTTATTATGTATTTTAAAAAAAATGATAACTATAACCTCATGACCAATGGTTTCTGTACATGTTCATTGTATTTTCATGTGGCCTAGACATTTCTGAACACCAGTTTTAATGGTATAAGGATCATGAGATACTAAATTGCATTGCTAAAATGTTTAGATTTTAGATTCTTTATGCTCTTGCTTCAAAATATCACATTTTTCTTGACTGATGTACATCGGTGTCAACTTTGTCATGCTTGTAATGATATTAGTAGGACTGGGAACTTTATAAAGATGTAATTTTTATTGCTGGTATCCATAATAAAACAGATACTTTTTTATGGAGCTGGCTTTAAATTTTAAAAATTCATTAATATATACAAGTAGAATGTAGTTTCTACTCTACTATCCTTTGAACTTTGGAAAACTGTTCCAAAATAATTGAATACTCATACAAATGGTCTCAACAATGGCTGCTATGATTTCTAGCTGTCAGAGAAGTTGGTATAAAACAAATCTGTTTTAAAATCACTTAAGAATCAGAAAATATGGTTAAGCTTTCTTTCTTTACTGTCGCTGCCTGTCACGAAAGTTTGTGGATAAAATCACAATAACATTGAAAGTATTGCCAATAAAAAAAAATTAAACATTAATGAATTAGATGTTAACTATTTCCACCAAGAATGTTTGATAAATATAAGTTATGTTAATATCAGTTAAATTAATAAAGGCAGCCCCAGAAAATTTAATCTCATGTCAATCCACTGTCAGAGACACATTATTTATAATGTAATACTAAATGTGAGGGCGTTTAATAAAGAGTTCATAAGAATTGTGATACGTCTTGATATCTAAGCTATTGGAGGTTATTTAAAATGGGAAGATCGCTAAAATATTTTTTGAAACATGCTAAAATTATAAGAAATGTTAATGTATCAACACTCTATTTATCAAAAAAATTATCTAAAGAATAGAATGTTGAAATATTAAAATTTTAAATAGGTTTGTTTTTTAATTTAGTTATTGAATTATTAATATTTGTTTTTAATATTTGATTTTTGTCTGTGATTCCAGAATATCTTTATTAAAGCATGGTTCCGTGAATCTCGTTTTGTTATATAAATATGTAGGCTATAATATAATGCCACAATTATGGCCTAAATGATGTGACTTGCTTACTTTTTTTAGGAAATGAGGGAAACAGAGTATGGGAAAACCTAAAAAAAGTCGCAACAAAACAACAAATATTTCTGAAAGAAGCCTTCTTCAGCAAACAAGCAACAGTAAAAAAAAATAAATTATAAAGTAAAAAAAAAAATACTAAGCTGTAATGTAGTATCTGACCTGAACTAGCATACATTTGCATGATATAATATTTATAGGAACTTCTTATAGGAACTGCATATATCTCTGAATTTTACCTCATACTCTCGGATACTACATTGCAGCTAAGTGTTTTTTTAAATTTTATATTGTTT